CCCTGTAGTTTGCTAGCCCCTCAACTTGGGCTAAATTGAGAGCATACCTAGGCTCCTGGGAGGGGGACACCTTTCTGCAGGGGGAAGCTCTGCCATGTTTGCTTTGAGGATCATTTGAGCCCCAGACTTGGGATGGGAGAGTAACAAATCCCACAAAGAAAGCCACAGACAATCCAAGCCCTCTGCTTTGCTGGATTATTATCAGCCATTTCACAACTGGGGAAACTGAGGCACAGAGGCGGGCTGGGACATGCCTGAGGTCACAGAGTGAGGCAGCAGCAGAACTGCACACAGAACCCAGGAATTCTGAGTCACAGCCTGCTGAGGTGGGCCTACAATCCTGATTCCCAGGACCCTGCTCTCACGAGAAAATCCGGCCTCCCTAAGTGTACCAGATGCGGACTGGCTACAGAGCTTGCTTCTACACCCCACCTGTGTTCGTCATAAGAGCCTTTTGATTCTCTGCATGAATCTGCAGCTTGGCTCTTCCAAAGTCTCTCTCTGGTAGAGGCATCTGTACACCGCAAAGTACAGCCTTGCCTCTTAAGTTGACTTGTACTGGATCTCCTTTCAAAAGTCCAATACCTTGAAATCCTCTGTCAAGTTCTTCCACCTTTCTCAGTAGACCCATCCTGGTGTCCATGCTCTGAAGGCTGTTGGTCTATGGTCCTTTGATCACATACACTCTGAATGCATAGCTTTGTAGGTTGTTTCTGTGATGAACTGGCCCATGCAATTCAGAATCCCTCCAGGGCTAGCCAGGGCTGTGTCAGGTGACTTCAGCTCTGGGAGGGATTGAGATGACTGTGATATCAGCTCCTGAATCAGTTTTAAAGTCAATAGTCTTGCCATCAATATTCAATTTCACTCTCCAGGCAGGCTCTATGTCATCACCAGTGACAAATCCCAGAAATAATGGCTCTTGATTGTCTGTAATATGAGTCAACTCTCTGACTGCTTTCACGCAGCACACAACTACAAAATGTCCATGTTTCACGTGTTTATTACACTGTTTGCTTCTGACTGGACATGCATTGTCTCTTGGGATATGACTTTTTCCACACCTTGTGCATGTAGACTGGAATTGGTCCCTCTTAGCCTGGGAGTTCTCCCTCCTTGCCTCAGAGGTTTTATGATCTTGACTTTTAACATTCAAGTGTCTGTTTGTAGCTTCTCAGATAGTTTCAGATTTTTCAATTTGCTCCTGCCCTTTGTTCTGTTTGACTAATTCTGGCTGCTTTGCTACCTGTATAGCTGTGTGTAGGGTTAAATCTCTCTTCAACTGTAACTGCTGTGAAAGGTTTTTATCTGTTAACCCAATGCCCAGCCTGTCACCAATATTTTCATGTTTTGCATTCCCAGAATCACAGTTTTCAGCCAATGTATGCTCTTATAAAACATTCAACATTTCCCCCTCATTCTTGAATTCTCTGGTGAAAACCTGCTCTTTCACAAAGCCCATTTATCTGAGGTATAAATTATGCATCAAATATAGCCATCTTTGTGATGGTCTTCAGTAAAGTCAAAGCACTTAAAGATAGGCTCTGCCTGCTTCCCCATAGCATAAATTAAAGATGATGCTTCTATATCCAGTTTCTTTGTGGAGCTGAATAGCAATGCTAAATCTTGCAAAATATTGTTTCCAGTCTGTCCTTTCTGAAGGTTTGTCAAAGCTGATGCTCTTGGGGGCATTGAAGGCATGCTGGTGAGATCCTGCACCCTTTGTTGCTTTGTTCCTTCTGTTTGCAAACTTTGTTGCTGTTTTCCTGCTATTTCTGTTCTTAGTTTACTCCTGACACCATGTCATAGTCCTGTACCAGATATGGATATGGACTGGCCTCAGAGCTTGCTTCGACACACCACCTGTGTTCATCGTAGGATCCTTTAATGCTCTGCCAGACATGTCTGAGGTTCATTTAAATGGGGCGTTTTACACCCATTGCCACCCAGTGGTTGAACCGTAGAACACAGGTGAGCATTCCACTTCACTAGGAGCCTCTGCACACGTGGGCATCCTGCCTGCAGGACCCCCGGCTCACCTGCACCGTCCCTCAGCCAGAGAAGGGCCAATGAATGGCTTCAAACCACCCTCATCCTGGAGGAAGGAAATGATCCGTCTGTGGAGCATGTGGGGAAGCCTGTAGGTCGAGAGCTGGAGAAAGCCCAAGTCCCTGCAAAGCTAGATCCACAATTCATTAACCTTTGTGAGCAGGTACACACTGAGCAACTAGTACCAAACACACTGTTACTAGCAAGAACAAGAGATTACTCAACAAAATAGATTGTATCACTTCAGAGAAGAATCAACTTTTCATCTCCTTGGCCGTAGGTCCAGCGCAACTCTTACAGTCCTGCTCTTTGCTTCTCTTCGCCTTGACGTGTTCCTTAGATTCGAGGTTCCTGGGGTTGTACCTCTTTGCACCGAGTTCATCCATGAGCAGGACTTTGTCATCTAGTGGCCCCTCGTTTGTACACTAGGCACCTTTGGTCTGTCAATAGCTGTTCAAACGGTCATTCTCCCTGTTCACGGACGTAGGTCCTCTGTGGGTGGGCGTCTCTTTTACTGTTTTTAGGACCTGTTTATACCTAACAGCTTTTTGATCAATTTCCTTTTTCACCAATTTCAGGTTTTTTCCTAGATACACTCTCTGGTGCGTCTGTAGATTTTATTTCCCTCTACTTCCTTTCTCTAACCGTGTCTGTTCACATGCCCAGGTCTGCTTTCTTCTGCTTCTCCTGACCTGAAACCTTTCCTGTTTTCCTTCTTTCCTCCTTCTCACTTCCCATGCCCTACTCTAGTCTCCTGCTCATCTTTTATTTGATCACCTCACCTCCAAACCACACTCTGCTTCATCCACTAGCTCAGCAGCTTGATCCTTCTCCGTCTTCAACAGCTTCGGGGGGATTCCGAGCCCCCTCCTCAGCTCGAGCTGCCCTCACTGGCCGTCTCTCTCCCCAGGACAGCACTCTGATCAGGGTGAGGCTTGCTACAAAGGGACCATTAAATCATCCAGTCTAATCCCCTATAGCACAGGCCAGAGAACGTCGCCCTGGTACCCCTGCACTCAGCCCAAAGACATGTGTTTGACTGAAGCATCTTGCAGAAAGGCAGCCGGGCTTCCATCAAGAACTGGAGTTCAGTCCCCCTCACTATTAACCATTGGTGCCTTTTCTAATTGGAATGTGTCTGGCTTCAGCTTCCACCCACTGGGTCTTGCTCTGCCTTTCTCGGCTCGAAGAAAGAGCCCTTCAGTGCCTGGTGTTTCCCCCCATGTACATATACACTGTAATCAAGTCACCTCTCAATCTTCTTTTTGATACAATTCTTCCCTTGCCCCCATCCCCGAAGTGCCTGATTTCAAAGCTGCTGGCTTTCAAGCCCTCCTGCCCTGTGTCCTCTGTGCGTGAGAGAGCCAGCCATGGGGTTGTGGTTACAACTAGGGCTGTCACATGGGTTGAAAAAGGAATCCCAAGTAATTGCAAACTTAAAAAAATAGTCACGGTTAATCACAGTTTTAATCGCGCTGCTAAACAATAATAGAAACACCAATTCCAATTCAGCAGGGATGCATGTCCTCTGGAACAGAGGTCGAAGCACGACAGGGCATACGAATGTTTAGCCTATCTGGCTCGTAAATACCTTGCAACAAGAGTTACTACAATGCCATGCGAAGGCTTGTTCTGACTTTCAGGTGACATTGTAAAGAAGAAGCGGGCAGCATTATCTCCCGTAATTGTAAACAAACTAGTTTGTCTGAGCGATTGGCTGAACAAGAAGTAGGACTGAGTGGACTTGAAGGCTCTAAAGTTTTAAGTTGTTTTGGTTTTGACCGCAGTTTTGTGAAAAGATAATAATTCTACATTTGTAAGTTGCAGGTTCACGATAAAGAGATTGCACGACAGTACGTGCATGAGGTGAATTGAAAAATACTGTATCTTTTTTTACTGGGCAAATATTTATAATGAATGTAAAGTGAGCGCTGTACACGTTGCATCCTGTGTTATAACTGAAATCAATATCTCTGAAAATGTAGAACAGCATCCAAAGTATTTCTAATCCATTTCAATTGGTGTCCTATTATTGTTTAACAGTGCAATGAAAACTGCAATTAATCATGACTATGTTTTCAATCTAGTTAATTTGTTTTGCGTTTATCGCTCGAGTTAACGGCGATTAATTGACAGACCTGGCTATAACTTCTTTCCGGGGTGTGCGTATGTGTGCCTACCCCTGCCTCTGGGAGAGGGAGGTTGACCCAGGAGAAGGCTGGGACGCTCGCTCTCAGGCCCTGCTAAGGGAGTCCAGGAGAAGAGAGGAGGGGTCACAGTGAGGCCGTGGCAGAGCTGGGGACACAACCCAGCTCTTAGACTCATTCCATAATCACAAGCCCCCTCTCTTCTCCGAAGCCTGTACTGGCCTGAGTGACCCCTGCTGTGATGGGATGTTAGATGGGGTGGACTCTGAGTTACTACAGAGAATTCTTCCCTGGGTATCTGGTTGGTGAATCTTGCCCATATGCTCAGGGTTCAGCTCAGGGGTCGGAAGGAATTTTCCTTCAGGGCAGATTGGAGGAGGCCCTGGAGGTTTTTCGCCTTCCTCCATAGCATGGGGCACGGGTCACTTGCTGGAGGATTCTCTGCACCTTGAAGTCTTTAAACCACGATTTGAGGGCTTCAATAGCTCAGACATAGGTGAGAGGTTTATCGCAGGAGTGGGTGGGTGAGATTCTGTGTCCTGCGTTGTGCAGGAGGTTAGACTAGGTGATCATAATGGTCCCTTCTGACCTTAATGTCTATGAGTCTATGAGTCATGGCCGAGAAGGACGCTGTATGTGCCAATGGAACCCAGGGATGCATGACACGTCCCCCATTCCCAGGGACCTGGGGTCTGTGACAGCACCCCTGGCTCCTTGGCGCATGCTGCAGAGCCTCCTGTGTTTAGCTTTGGGCTGGCCCACATGGTGGTTCTCCCGCTGACCCCCCACCCCGGCTCTCTGCAGCAAAGAATGGGGAGAACTCACGGTCCAAGTCGTCCGGCTCCGGTGGCAAAGAGGAGCTGAACCTGGGCAAGAAGAAGCTGCGAAGGCAAAGGACTCACTTCACCAGCCAGCAGCTGCAGGAGCTGGAGGCCACCTTCCAGCGCAACCGCTACCCAGACCTGAGCACCAGGGAGGAGATCGCAGGCTGGACCAACCTGGCGGAATCCAGGATCCGGGTAAGCAGGAGCCTCCTCAGACACTCCAGTAGGGGGCAGTCTCCACTGGAGTGGGACCCAGGCCTGATGAGCTGCAGTGGCTCAGCCTGTGGTCTGCCTTCCCCTCCACCTGTAGCCTTTACAGAGCGGGGCCTTCGGGGGAGTGGGGTTTGTGTGAGAGCCTCCAGCAGAGCGCTGCAGCACAGAATTCCACGCATCAGCCGAAGGAGCCGCTCCATTAGCTGGTAGCAGTAGTAGACCATTGTCCTCTGGCAGGTCCTCCACTACAGAAGCATGCAATGCACGTGGTGCCAGTATGTTTCAAGTGCCGATGGCAGGGCCAGGAACTTTTTGCCGTACAGGCCTGGTAACGGTGGGAGGAGGACGGCTCTCAGCAACTCCCGTCCAGTCAAGAAGCAATTCCTATCCACGTCTCCTGGGGCTCGAGTGGAATGCAGGGTCAGCCCTTTGATGCTGCCACAGCGCATCTGGTGCCACAGAGCCTGGGCTTTCCCTGCCCTATGTGCAGCTTGGAGGGCTTGCACTGGCAGAGACTGGCAAAAGCTAATCACAGGGGCTGAGTGAGTCTTTGGGTTCGGGACAGACCCACGTACTGGGGCACAGGAATTCGTCACGGAGGGAGACAAAACTGCCAGGGTCATTCCAGGTGCCAGGGCGACTAGGACTGCTGTTTGGGCCAGATTCAGAGCTGGTGTGAGCTTAGGAAGTTGGTAGCAGGTTGGATGGGGCCACGTGGTGCTGCAAAGATGCCAGCTTGGCATCCCTAGAGCCTTATTCACCGAGCAGGGACCATGTCTGCAATGCCCAGGCAAGCCCCATGCTTGTACCGGAGAGGGCTGGGACGGGGATTCAGCCTGCAGGGGTCATTCAGTCCCTGGCCCCTCTGCCAACTGGGGAAGGGGGGTGCTTTGGGGGATGTGCGCTCACCTGCTCGCAGCTGGGCTGAGCCCCACCACACAGCCCCCAGCTGGGGGTGCCCATGAGTCTCTGGTAGCTGAAGCAGGGACGGCACAAGCTGCTGAGAAGTGGGAGGCAGGCAGATCAGCTGCAATGCGGGCTGCTGTGATACTGAGCTCAAAGCAGGCTTTTCTCCCCTCCCCATTCTCTCGCTCTCGTTCAAGGTCTGGTTTAAGAACCGCAGAGCCAAGTGGCGGAAGAAGGAGCGGCACCTGCAGCCTGGGCTGTGCAAGGGGGGCCTTGGCCCCCAGCTGAACGGTCTGCCCAGGGGCCCGTATGAAGACCTCTACAACAGCCACTCCAACCACAGCTGGGCCCCCAAGGGCTTCCAGGCCAGCCCCCTCCCCAGCAAAGGCTTCCAGCTCTTCAGTGCTGTGAATCTCAGTTCCTTCTCCCCACAGGCCATGTTCCCGGGGGTGGCAGCAGCCTCCATGCCCGGGGTCCCGGCCCTGGAGAACTTCAACAGCCTGGCCGGCCCCACCTACGGACCCGAAGCTTTGCCTTACATGTACAAGGACCCCTGCAACGCAAGCCTGGCAGGGCTGAGACTCCGGGCAAAGCAGCCCCAGCCCCTTAGCCTCGAGGTCCTGCCAAGCCCCGCTGCGAGCCCCAACTCCTGCCAGTACACACTGGGCAGGCCTCTGTGAAGGGGACCCCAGAGCATCGGTACCAGCCCCCCCCTCCAGACTGTACAGAGGGGTGGGGGGTTCTCTCACCAAGGACAGTGTGGAGGGAGGGGGGGTTCCCCCATCCTGGGACAGTGCCCTCCACCACGCCAGAGCTGCCCTCATAGCCCATGCACCCCCCCTCCCTCTGCCAGTGCCCAGCTCAGGGAGCCCAGGGGGTGCCAAAGGCTATGAGTAGCCCCAAAGATTGTGGCTTAGCCCAAGACCTGTAGGTCCGGCCCCAGACAAAGCTCAGTGCAGGCAAAGTGCCGCAATTTGGGTTAAATTACCGTGGAAAGCGCCATCTAAGATCCCAAACAAGTAACAGACTCTTGGGAGGAGACAAAGCCCCCTGTGAGGGGAGACCTGAAGAGGCCTGGACGCAGGGCTCTGGGACTAGCCAGCTCAGAGGCACAGGGAAGGGCATGACGCTGTTCTGAGTTCTGCACTGGGTGGCATTATTGTCTCCAGCTCTTGCCAACAAAACAGAGAGTCCCTGAGCTCGGGCTGCGGCTAGAGCAGGGAGCTCAGAGACTTCCGTTCCCAGCGCTGGAAGGGCATGCTAGCGGATGAGCAGAGCAGCAGCGACGGTGCGTCTGGACTCCCGCGGACAGATCAGGAGCCCTGGATTCTATTTCCAACACTAGCATTTCCTCACCATGTGACCATGGGCAAGTCTCGTCCCCTCCCTGTGCCTCAGTTTCCTTGTCTGCAATATGTTGGTCACAGTGCTGACCGGCCTCACCTGAGGACTCATTCATGCTTGTAACATGCTTTGGGATCCTTGGGAGGAAGGTGTAATAATGTCAGTGCAGGTGACATCAGATCTGGGGGAGTGGTAAATAACGCCGAGGACAGTCACCGATACAGAGCGATCTGGATCGCTTGGTAAGCTGGTTGCAAGCAAACCATGTGCAGGGACGCAGGGGCGGCGAGTTATATGGGCCAGTGGTGCCCGGGCTCCAGGAATATTCAGGAACCAGGGGCCAGGCTCCAGCAATGTTTGGGGCCGGGTCTCCCCCTGGCCCCGCCTGCCGCCCCCATGCACCTTCCCCAGAGTGTTCCCTGGCCCCGCCTGTGGCCCCTGGGTGATTTAAAAGGGCCCCAAGGCCCCTGCCGCCACCGCCGGCAGCGCAGCGGGGCTAAAGCGGCTTCCTGCCCGCCTTCGCTCCGCACAGCGCCCCACTCCCGGAAGCAGCTGGCATGTCCCTGCGGCCCCTGGGGCGGGGGGGGGTCTCCACGCACTGCCCCCACCCCAAGTGCCGACTCTGCCATTGGAACTATGGCCAACGGGAGCAACGGGGGCGGTGCCTGTGGGCAGCAGGGTGCAGAGACACCCTCCCCCTCCCGGCAACCCCTGCCTAGGAGCCACTACCAGAGGGGTATGCAGGTCACTTTCGGGAGCTGGCCGCGGTAAGCGCCACACATCTTACCCCCTCCTACACCCCAACCCCCTGCCCTAGCCAGAGCCCATACCTCAATTCCCACCCAGAGCCCACACCCTGCACTCCCTCCTACAACCCTGCCCCAGTCCAGAGCCCGCACCCAGCACCCAAACTCCCACCCAGAGCCTTAGGCAGGTGTCAGGGCGGGGGCGGGACTTGGACCCGTTCTGTGCACCACCAAAAATTATACAAACCTGCTGCCCCTGGGGGAAGATCTCTGGCCTGTGGTATGCAGGCGGACAAGCAGACTCACTAGATGCTCACAGCAGTCCCTTCTCACCTTAAAATCTCTGAATTTAGGTGCAAACTATTCTTTGGCCTTGTAAAGTCCGTGCAGGCCTGCTTTCGGATCTCAGCCAGAGTTTGCACAGGATCTGGGCACATCCCCATTGTGATGTCAATCCATGTCCCATCCGCAGGAGGATGGAACGGACTGGTCTGGCTTTTCCAATTCCAGCTCCCAGGAGACCCCCGGGACTCCTTGATGCACAGCTCACAATACCCGAATTCCTCTCATTCCATCTCATTGCTGCCTTGGGATTTTGGCGCGTGCTCAAATAGTTCCCCTGTATCACCCCCCTCCCTCAAAAGCCCACACACGCAACAGGGCCCCCTCCAGTGCCCACAGCCCTACCTTGTGAGCGGCCAAATGACAGGGTGCTCTCCAGCAATGTCTGTAGGAAATGGGGGTGGAACTTCAAACACACCCTGCTCGCCATGCCTGGGGCCCTGGCTAGCCAGCTTTCACCTCACTTCTCTGGAAAGGGGTGGGGGATAGATAGTGTTTAAGACCAAGGGCTGGGAATTGAGGGTACAGCTACACTGCAAAAAACCCAGCGGCAACAAGTCTTAGAGCCTGGGTCTACGGACTGGGACTCACATTAGGGGGCTGAAAATAGCAGGGTAGAGGTTACTGCTTGGGCTCTGAAACCTGGCCGGAGGGAGGTGTCAGACCCCAAGCGCCAGCCTGAGTGGGAATGTTTACACAGCTCGTGTTAAAAAGGGCTCCAGAGGAGATCCCAGCAATTACAGGCCAGTAAGCCTAACTTCAGCACTGGGCAAGCAGGTTGAAACCATAGTAAAGAACAGAATTATCAGACACGTAACTGAACACGATTCGAGGGGGAAGAGCCAACATGGTGTTTGTAAAGGGAAATCATGCCTCACCAATCTACTAGAATTCTTTGAGGGGATCAACAAGCATGTGGACAAGGGGGATCTAGTGGATATAGTGTACTTAGAATGTCAGAAATCCTTTGACCAGGTCCCTCACCAAAGGCTCTTAAGCAAAGTGAGCTGTCATGGGATAAGAGGGAAGGTCTTCTCATTTCAGTAACTGGTTAAAAGATAGGAAACAAAGGGTAGGACTAAATGGTCAGTTTTCAGAACGGAGAGAGGTAAACAGTGGTGTCCCCCAGGGGTCTGTACTGGGACCAGTCCTATTCAACATATTCATAAATGATCTGGAAAAAGGGGTAAACAGTGAGGTGGCAAAATTTGCAGATGATACAAAACTACTCAAGATAGTTAAGTCCAAAGCAGACTGCGAAGAGCTACAAAAGGGATCTCACAAAACTGGGTGACTGGGCAACAAAATGGCAGATGAAATTCAATGTTGATAAATGCAAAGTAATACACATTGGAAAACATAATCCCAACTATTCATACAAAATGATGGGGTCTAAATTAGCTGTTACCACTCAAGAAAGAGATCTTGGAGTCCTTGTGGAGAGTTCTCTGAAAACATCCACTCACTGTGCAGCGGCCGTCAAAAATGTATACAGAATGTTGGGACTCATTAGGAAAGGGACAGATAATAAAAGAAAAAATATCATGTTGCCTCTCTATAAATCCATGCTACGCCCACGTCTGGAATACTGTGTGCAGATGTGGTTGCCCCACCTCAAAAACGATATATTGGAATTGGAAAAGGTACAGAAAAGTGCAACAAAAATGACTGGTGTGGAGAAAGTAAATAAGGAAGTGTTATTTACTCCTTCTCATAACACAAGAACTAGGGGTCCCCAAATGAAATTAAGAGGGAGCAAGTTTAAAACAAACATAAGGAAGTCTTCTTCACCCAATGCACAGTCAACCTGTGGAACTGCCTGCCAGAGGAGGTTGTGAATGCCAAGACTATAACAGAGTTCAAAAAAGAACTAGATAACTTCACGGGGGACAGGTCCACCAATGGCTATTAGCCAGGATGGGCAGGGTTGGTGTCCCTAGCCTCTGTTTGCCAGAAGCTGGGAATGGGCGACAGGGGATGGATCACTTGATGATTCCCTGTTCTGTTCATTCCCTCTGGGGCACCTGGCATTGTTCTTACGTTAGCCCCACGAGTTTGAGCCTGTAAACCCAGGCTCCGAGCCTCCTGCTGCACGGTGGTGTTTGCAGGGCAGCTGTACGTTGACTCTGGGTTCCACTAGCTGTGTGGATCTTGGCTGAGTTGCTTCCTTTCCAGTGCCTCGGTTTCCCCATCTGTAAAATAGCAGAACAGTGCTTCAAATGGGCATGTGAGGCTTAGAGTGTTGCTGCCTGCAGAGTGCTTGGAAATCCACTGAGGGGCCCTGCTTCCCCTCTCTGCGAGAGCAGATTCACTTTGCTGTAACTGCATTGATTTCAACAGGTTTACCCCAGCATAAAACTGGAGTGAAGCAGAGCTGACGCAGGGCATTTGCTGCCTGGGGAGCTGATGTCATATGAGCTCTGGCTGGGGAATGGGAGCCGAATCTACGATGTAAGGAGGCCTGGAGGGCAGAAAAGATTGGAGCTAAATTTAGCCCTTGGAGTGGAATTTCCATGAGTGCGCTGGGACTTTCCACTCCCCTGGGGTCACCTCCTTACCTGACTGCACAGCAGGCACAAACCAGCCGGGGATTCTCCTCTTGGCTGCTCTGCCACGGGCCGGGGTCCTCGGCTGTACCCGCCCTGGGCCGGGGTCCTCGGCTGTACCCGCCCTGGACCTGCGTTCTCGGCTGTACCCGCCCTGGGCCGGGGTCCTCGGCTGTACCCGCCCTGGACCTGCGTTCTCGGCTGTTCCCGTCATGGCTCTGGGTCCTTGGCTGTACCTGCCCTGGGCCTGCATTGTCGGCTGCAGGGGGGGCAGGGTGGGGGCCCCCCTATCTTATACCTTCCTTAATTCCCCTACCACCCTCACCCGCTCCCCCCCCCGGGGGGGCGGACGTACCCAGTGAGGCCTCCCAAAGGTGGGTCCTCAGATGTACCTGTCCTGGGCCTGTGTTCTCAGCTGTACCCACCATTGGCCTGGGTTCTTGGCTTTACCGGCCCTGCGCCTGGGTCCTCGGCTGTACCCGCCTTGGGCCTGGATTCTCAGTTGTACCTGCCCTGTGTTCTCAGCTGTATTCAACCTTGGGCCAAAGGTCTCGGCTGTACCCACCCTGGGTTCTCAGCTGTACCCACCTTGGGCCTGGGTTCTTAGCTGTTCCTGCCCTGAGTCTGGGTCCTCGGCTGTACCTGCTCTGACTTCTCGGTTGTACATGCCCCGAGCCTGGGTTTTTGGCTGAACCCACCCTGGGTTCTTGGCAGTACTCACCCTGTGTTTTCAGCTGTACCCGCCCTGGGCCTGGGTCCTTGGCTATACCCGACCTGGGCCTGGGTCCTCGGCTGTACCTGCCCTGGTTTCTTGGCTGTACCGCTGTGGGCCTGTATTCTGGGCTGTACCCACTTTTGGCCTGGGTTTTCTCTGACATTTGACCTCAAATAAACTTCAGGTCGTATTGAAATCAGTACCAGGCTCTGTCCCCAGTGGACAGTGGTGGGGGCTGTGGTGCACCTCCTGGACATGAGCTCTCTCTGTCTCCATTGTCCTGTTCACTCCAAGCTTTCTCATGCTGCAGACATAACAACTAACTAAACCAGAGCTCTTGGTCATGTCCTCAGAAACCCCCTTGCTGGGAGGCTTGGTGTTCATGGAGGCCGAGGCTTGGGTCACAGGAACCTGTGGTTCCAGAGAAAGGCCAACCTGAAAACTCAGGCAGCTGAAATGTAGTTGTAACTGGAGTCTTGCCCGTCCATTTGAATTCTGCCGTCTTGAAGGATCCCATTCCTTTCTGGGCTCCTTTCCTATTCACCCAGGCCTCTCACGTCATGTTGTGTTTCTGTGGACTGCTGGTCCAGGGGCCAAACCAGGACGGGGTACAGTCAATGGGTGCATTCCCGTCAACCTCAGGGGGCTCCGGATCAGGCCCTGGGGAAAGCAGACACACGTGCTAATGCCCATCCCAGTTCAGCACAGCGCGTAGGCCCCAATTCAGGAAAACACCCCTGTTCAAGACTGCAGTTAAGCACATGCTTAAGTTAAGCGCGCCTTAATTGCTGGACTGAGTAGGCATGGATTTAAGCTTAGGTGGTTTCCTGGATTGGGGCCATAAATGTGCTCCAGTATTACTGACATTAGTTGGGTGCATGCATGTGCCTATGCGCGTTCATGAATCAGGGCCCAGCTGCGCAAAAGGGTTTTTCTTTCTGGGCACAGAAAATGGATCATAAGCTGAACATAAGTCAAACGAAACACTTCATGTATAAATAATAAAACAAATACCTTATTTTTTTAAACAGTAAAACAGTATTGTAAAAGAGAGCATTAATTCAGCCAGTGTGTCTGTGGGTTTTTCAAAGTGTTTAAACCATTTCTGATTCTCTTTTGGGATGTGACTTTTTTAAAAAATACGGCTAACAACAAATGTGAAAAGTCTGCCCTGCATCTCGGAGGGACTTTCTGATTGGGAGTTTTGTTGTCCATCTTTCGGGATTTCAGAACCAGAGTTTACAAAAGAAGATAAAGGAACGCTCAGGTCATTAAAGAAAACTCTAGACCTTTAGCAAACAGAACACATTGTTCTGCCAATGCCCCTCAATCCCAACCCACAGCACCCTGCTAGTGCACTCCTGGGCTTCCCACATGCAGCTCTGCCAACACACCTCAAGCTAAATCTGCAGCAGTGCCTGCCTTTCCAAATTATCCTCCCCTTCCTCCCAATGCGCCTCAGTCCTGACTAGCAGCACGCCATGCTAGTCCAGCCTCCGGCTTTTCTTGAAGAAAGGAGCTCACGCAGGCCAAGCTGTTAGTTAGCTGGTGAGGTGGGCTAGCATGATAGCACAACATTGCGTTCCCCTGTTGATCCATGACAGATTCAAAACCAGGTCTCCAGTGGGGCAAAGCTGGTGTCTTAAACTCTGCACAGACCGTCTTCAGGCTCTAAAATGATTGATGGCCCCTAAGTGCCATGGTGTCTCCTGCACTTTCTCTGAAAAAAGTAGGCGATGTTCTTGTGACGTAGATCAGGACCTGGGGGGAAGGATGAGCTGGTAAATGTAGAACAAATAAAAGAACAGTCCTTCACACAGCCGGGCAGTGGAATTCACAACCGGGGGAGCAGATGGAGTCAGACACTGTGGCTGGCTTTAAAAGGGGGCTGGGCTGGGGAATTCCATGCCTATTCATACTAAGATGAGGGCTAAATTACCGGTTACCACTCAAGAAAGAGATCTTGGAGTCACTGTGGAGAGTTCTCTGAAAACATCCACGCAATGTGCAGTGGCCGTCAAAAAAGCGAACAGAATGCTGGGAACCACAGGCGCCAGCTTCCTCCTTTCCCAGGGGGAGCTCAATCCCTGGCCCTGCCACCACTCCACCCCCACCTCTTCCCGCCCAGTTCCCACCTCCACAAGCGTGCCCCATCCCCACTGCTGCCCCCAGCACCTCCTGCATGCCGCAGAACAGCTGATCCCCGGTAGGCGGTGTTGTCAGACATCACTGGTGTGGTGCTCTGCTTGGTTCAATGTTGATAACAGTCGGTTGCGTGCGCGTGCTCCCTCTGCGTGATGACAGAGCAGACCCCGAGAGAGCCCCCAATGGCCACAGACTCAGATATGGTACGAAGGCACCCAGCCAGGGTTATTGCCAAACGAAGTACAGGAATACTTTCCCGCACCAAAATTTTTCCCCATGGGCTGGAGCACCCACGGAGTCGGTGCCTATGGCAGTCAAACCGTGGATTGGTTGGTTGAGAAAATTTGTATTTTACTAGTCCCCGGAGGAGGGAACCCAAGTTGCTACTTCCTGATCTGAGGGCAGATGAATGTGGTGCTTCCCAAGACAAACAGCATGGGGGTTTGGAACAGACAGTGCAGGCACCTGGATTGCTGAAGGAAAAGAGACGTGCGCTGCCAGAATTGCCAACACGTGGATTCTGGGCAATTCGTGGGTTGCATGAGTTTGTGAGAGAGCGAGAAACACACCGTGACATGGGGACTGCCGACGATTTAACCTGCTCGGCAGCATCTATCTCACTGGTGACAGAAAAGGTTGTGATCTCCTAGATGATAGGGGCCTTATCTTGATGTACACTAGGTGTCCAATGGAGGAGAGCAGATTTGGCTGGCACTAGAGATGTGTGTCCAGGAGCTGTGACAGTTTTCTCTGATTTAAATGAATGTCTGAATAATCGCTACAGTGACAATATGAAACCAATTAGTAAGTGTTGGAAGAACATTAATCGGGACGCTGTACTGTACTGTGTGGCGTAGAAACATTACAAGTCTGACACCTCTGCTTCTCAGATATGGGGTACATCTATTGGACAGGGGTCAGCGTAAAACTCAGTATTTTGGCACAGACACCCTGTTCGTGATTTCTCTTGCCAGCCCTGCTACAATCTTCACCCTTCAACCATTCTGAAACGCCACCAGGAACACCATTCCCCTGTCACACAGTTGTGCTTTGCTCCAGGCACTGGCTGGGAGTTAGATTATAGCCGGCGGAAGTCATGGCAATATAAACCTTTGTATATCATGGAGTGAAGACTTCAGAGAGATGCATTCCCTTGTAGCAGTGGGGGGGGGACTCAGGTACAGTAGTGGGAGGGGGCCAGGTTGGAGGGAGAAATGCAGCGAATGGGTCAGGAGCATGGGTAGGAAGGTGGGCCGAAGCAGAGCAGAAGAGAACCCTGGCAGGGATGCTCCAGCCCGGCCCCTCAGCAGTCCTCACTCAGGCTGTCAGGGAAGGCAGGAGGAAGGAGTTCCTTTGCCTGCAGTAACTCCGCCATCCACACACCCTCTGCCACAGAAGCAGCCGCAAGCCCGTTGGTCTGTGTGATACCAGGACACAGCTGAAGCCAGCAGACAGGTTGGAGTTAATTGGCTAGGAATGAAGTGCCCTCTGAACAGAGGGCTGATGGGCTGATGGTAAATGGGTCAGGACGGGAAGGTTTGGGATCATCGTAGAGTTCAGAGACAACTCATTGAATCAAAGGAACGGAGCAAAAAGTGTCAAAGAGCAGGGAGCGGGACTGAAAAGGAGAGCAAGACAGATGGAGGGCTGTGCCACCAGGCCGATACTTACATCTCTGCCAGTGTGCCACAAGCCTGACATTCAGCCCCAGCTGCTCTTCTACTGCTGGGCTCCCCACCAGCGTCCCTCGAAGTTTTCTCACCCATGTGCAGAATGAATTTTGTTATGTGCACCACGATGGAGATGATGTGTGGGGGCTCTGGCTGGGGGTGTGGGCTCCGGGGTGGAGCCAGGGATGAGGGGCTCAGGGCTGGGGTAGAGGGTTGGGGTGAGGGGTTCAGGGCTCTGGCTGGGGGTGTGGGCTCTGGGGTGGGGCCAGGGATGAGGGGCTTAGGGTTGGGGTAGAGGGGTTGAGGGCTCCGGCTGGGGGTGCAGGCTCCTGGGTGTGACCAGGGATGAGGGGCTCAGGGCTGGGGTAGAGGGTAGGGGTGGGGGCTCCGGCTGGGGTTGAGGGCTCTGGGGTGGGGCCAGGGAGGAGGGGTTTGAAGTTCAGGCTTCCCCGGGGAGAGAGGATTCCCCCGCAGCTGTCTCTCCCTGCAGCAGCACCTGGGCTGGGGCAGCGGGATAGGCGCCTCTCCCCCAGCTGCGGCAGGTCCGGGCCAGGGCTGGAATGGGGCCAGCAGGGAGAGGCACCTCTTCCCTGGGCGCGGCAGGTCTGGAGTTGCGGGAGAGGCATCTCTTCCCACCGCAGCCTGAGTGCCTGTGTGGCGCTTAATAGACTGCGTGTCCGCACAGCCGTGCAGCTTCGAGGGAATTTCGCTCCTCACAC